AGTTATCTTTATTGTATACGGCTTAAGTGTCTGTTTGTCGCCGATAGTTTATTGGTTGCTTGCGTAACTGTACTAGCCAATGGGAAGTTGCCACAGCACAGGGTTGCCGTTTCAATTGAGACGTAGACAATTTCCTGTAAAACCTGCCTTTGCTATGACCATCAATAGGTCTCAGGCCCAAACCTTAAGCGTGTTTGCAATTTTTTTATCTGAGCCTGCATTTGGATACGGTCAACTTTATGTTGCCTGTTCAAGAATCTGTGAAAGAACGGACGTAAAATTAAAAATAATTGATGTTCCTCTGAAAGGCGAGCTTAAAAATGATGGAAAGATCTACACAAGAAATGTTGTATGCACAAAAGATCTTTGACATGTGAATTAACATTTTATTATTTAAATCAACTTTATTTATTGAGATAGCGGTGGCTCTTAAGAAATGTACCGCCAGTGGTTTCCTTCATTGCACTTTAAGCAAGTAGAAGGGGGAAACTCCATGGGGCAGTAAGCAAAGGGGCGTCCTCGCCGCCTATCCTGGGCAATTCAGTTTGAATTAGCAGACACCTTTGCTTTTAATTAGTGTAATTTCTTCGAGTCCAATTAGTATAACTGCGTAAAAGTATTTACAGATTTTAATAATAAACTAAAAATAATGCTTTTCTGGGTACAGTAATTTTATCAATCGTTTCAGTGCAACGATTCTAGATTTTAGATACACTAGAAATTATACAATGAGCTGTAATGAATACTGCAGCTCATTATACAATTTCTTCAATATGACAACTGCTTTTAATAATGGATCAAAAAGGTTCTGGAATGGAAAAATAAAAAAAAAAAAAAAAAGATTTAAAGCATTTTATTTTTCAAACTACCAAAAATATTGTTATTTACCCATTAATTCTGAATAGGAAATATTTGACAGTGTAAATACTTTTCTGTCAGACCTTCTCAACTATATTTATATTATTATTTTGATATGCTAAAACAGCAGTACTTAGAGCAACCAAATTAAGAACATATACATTCTTTCATCTGAATATGTACTTCTGAAGCCTGAATCTTGAACTTCGAATTTGTTTTCTGTTTCTTTTTTTTGCGCAGCAGCGGCCGAGCGGTAAAATCGCTGAGCACTGTTAGTTCGGTCTGTGAATCGAATCCCGGTGAATGGAGTGGCTGCTGCATGGCCGTTTTCGTTCTTTTGCCCATGTGTAACGTGTAGACGAGCCACTTCCCTTAAATGCCTTCCACAAAGGCATCCCTTCTCTTAGGTATACGCCCACCAGCGGCCGAGCGGTAAAGTCGCTGAACACTGGTAGTTCGGTCCGAGGTTCGAATCCCGCGAACGGGCTGGCTGCATGGGCGTTTTCGTGGTTTTCCCCATGTGTAACGTGTATACGAGCCAGTTTCACTTAGAAAGTCCTCCACGAAAGGCATCCCTCCCCTTAGGCAGATAGCCCTCGTGTGCTTTGCCATAATTAAATACACCAACACACCATCTCTTAGGTATACAGCCATCGAGTGCTTTGCCAGAATCAAATAAAACGAAACATTTTCCTTTTTTTATTATTTTGTGCAAATATAATGACATTTTGACTACGATTTAAGAGCAATATGCTGTCACTCGGTAAAACGTAAGCTATTTATGTTTCAAATTTAATCAAAAAACACTCATTTAACAGAAATGTGTTGTCACTGCAGGAAATAAAATATTTTTATCTTCAACATGCCAGTGTGATGCCATTCGGAAAAGTGAAAGATGTCTAATTTCTTTTTAACTTTAATTCGTCTGTTATTGATTAATAAACTAAGTGATTTAAAAGTGTGCTAAGCTTCCGCTGCAGTTTTGAGAGGGAACATCTCCGGGACCAGTCCAAGTTTTTTTTTTTTTTTTTTTTTTAAACCCTTCTTTCCCTACCACTGACCTTTCGAGAAAACTAGCTGTGCATTTTTAATGCCCCAGTACTGCACAGACACTATACGTTTACTACAAGCATCTATGCCTTCTCCAGGGTTTTGAACTTTTACTCATTGGTGTGGCAGCAAGCATCACTAAGCACTATACCGGCTAGGTGGCGTGGCAGTACAGTAGTACAGGGAGGTATTGAAAATATTTTTAATGCATGTATATTTGACATTTAGAAAATTTTAACAAATAACCAGGGCAAAATAACAAACTTGCCGAGACACTAGGATATATCTTCAAATTGGGACAGTTTCGGAAAATTAAGACATCTCGTACTTCCTAGATTTAATTCAGTCCAATAAGTTTAAATGAAATGCAAGAATAACCCTTGTACGGAATATAATTTAATATTCCGTACAAGGAAGTCATGTGGTGTACACATCAGATTTTTTTTATTTTGTTTTACTATCAATAGTAAGTACTGTGTTAGGTAGGTTGTTTTTAGGTAAATTCATGTTAGTGCTATGACTTTAAATAACCAAAATCATTTATAACGGTCAGACAGTTCATAAAATATTTACTGATTGGAAAAGAATTTTCTCTGTGATATTGCTCTGTGATATCTCTGTGATATATCTAAGATATTGCTTTTCACTTGAAAAGTCTAGAACAGTCTAAAAATGTTAACTTTAAAGAATTAAAGATTGTAGAAAATAACTTGTTTTTTTTCTTTGGAACACAATTCTACGTGAAATTCAGATATTTTCATCTAATTAGAGTAAAGAATTGATGCATCACCATTTCTTCACACTTTTATTTATTTTAAGCGCACTTCTTCCTTTTTTAACATATCTGATGAGATCTCACAAATTAAAAATTAGTGTTAAAATGGTAAACATATATAAATTTGCTTATATTTCTCTAATTTATTACTAACCGTAAAAAAATTTATATAGCACTTTATTAAAAATTTAAATAACTTTCATCGCGGTCGCATAGCTGAGGACGCACGTAAAACTGTCTGCGGACGCAATGGTGCCCGCAGGCCATAAGGCTGGAAACCACTGCCTTACGTCTTCAAACATCTTAAGGACCTTTGCTCTTCCTTCGAGTTCTTCCTGATAAAAAAAATGTAGTTGCGGAGCGCTTATGGAAGAAGATACGATTTCGTCATAAATTAGGAAGATAAATATGTTACACTTTTCGGAATGGCAACACTCTGGCGTACGAAAGATGAAAATGCTTTGTTTCGAGCAGTCCAACAGATTGCTTCTAGTAAATCGCTGATTTTGTTAATCAAAAAATTAACTGAGTTTCCATAAAATATGAAATAAATAAAAAAGAAATTTGGAATTCAAAGTTCAGGCTTGAAGGTGCATATGTTCGGATGAAGGCCTATTTGTATTCAAAATTCGTGGTCTGTAGGTGCCGCCATTTTCTCACAATGCAAAGAAAGATTCTTCATTATTTAATGATAAAGATTATTACGAAAACAGATGGCAGTATGCAGAACTATTTTTTGAAGAGATTTATTTTATTACGCTCATGTCCTTCCTGGGATTTATTGCATCATTATATGAAAGAAAAAGATTCTGTTCCCAGTTGTTGCAGATATTTAGAATTCTCTCATACTTCAGATATTTCGTCGGTTCGCTTTTGCATCACGTGATTAAATTGCTTTCCAGAATAGTACATTGTATATAACAACCGGATATGGGAGAAGTAACTGGTGTTTGGGAAGAATTTCTTTCTCACATCCCCCTCCTACTTTTCTTCCCATGTACATAGCAACCTGCTTTGCCTTAAAAAAATATCAGACTTGCAGAAAATCCCAGAACAACTTAGCACTGGTTTTTGCCAAGAGCAGAGTTAGATGGGTAGAAAGTGAGTCTTCTTGCCAAATTCACGCGAGCTTGCAATCAGTTGCTGTCCGCCTTTAAGGCCAAAGATTTTAGGCCTCTTGAAAGCTAAAGATATAATGTAGTTTTCCATAATAATTCACAGTACAACACAGTCATTCTCCCCATGTAAAAAAAGATGTGCTTTCACTTAAAAACACATCACAGAATCAGACATTTTCCCATGCACATAACAATCAGTTTTCACTTAAAAAAAAAATAAAAATAAAAATAAAACAAAAAAAAAACTGCAGATATTCAGCATTATCATGCAAATTTTGATCCACAAAATTCGATTGTTTGCGACTCACATATTTATCACATACAAATTTTTGAATTCTCTACTACTGTTATGCAAAATACTACATTTCTGAAGAAAATCAATGCTTTATTTTTCATCAGCCAGCAAATTCCATTACAATTCATTACAAGGGGGGGGGGAATGCCCTCTTTGTAACAAAAACAGACACTAATAACTGCTGCTAATTTAATGCACATACATCAGGGTTATTACATAAATACATTTCACCAACATCACGAGTTGCTCATTTTAATGACATAGCGTGTTGCCTGATAAATTCTTTTTAGGTTTGAGTGGATAATCAGAAAGTACTGAAGTGATATGTAAAAACTGTAAGATAATTAAAACATGCATAATGTGTTAATTATTAGAAGCTTAAAATTAACTTGATGATACTAATTCAGAAGTCAAACAACAAAAATCAGCATTATATTTTCAAATTTTCACAGGACTAGTTTTGATGGTTTTAGCGAACCACCATCGTCAGCTGCAAAAGTGCAGATGTTTTTGTTGTTTGACTTCTGAATTAGTATTTGTTCGGCATGTTATTGTGTCTTAATTAGCTTGATGATATTGTTTGAGAGTCTGAAGGCACCATCACTATTAAATGAAAATACTTGAGTGACTATACAGTGATCCTTACATAAAATGAAAGAACTTTCCAAAGGTAATGAAAAGCTAAACAATTTAAATAATCAAGATTCACAAAATTTCTTAGAATATTAACATAATATACACATAACTTTGCATTTACTCAAAAAGGATGATGACCTTTTGGATGCCATTAATGAAATTTCAACTTTCTCAAGAATGCAATTATTGCATTACAGAATATCATATTCTCTAGTAAATCAGAAATAGGAGACATTACAAATTTATGTTGCACAGTATACTGTTTAATTTAAAGCTTCTTACCACTTCCATAAAGTAAATCAGAAGGATTAAGGAAATCTTGAATTCTAGGAGTATAGGAATCTTCTCCAAAAAAGTCTGCATCATCCATTTGCTGAGATTCAATCATTTCAAGCCACTGGCAGTTATGCCAACGGAATTTTTCAACCTGAATTTTTTTTGCCCATTCTTCATTATATTCCTTAAAAGTAAACAAAATATTTAATAAACACAGAAGAAAACAAGCAATTCTCTTCAAGTTCATAGTAAAGCATAAAAAACTTACAGAAATAATTTCTAAACTCCTATCACAAAGTTTTCTGATTTCTGTATTTTTGTCGTGCATCAAATCTAAAAGGTACCCAGGTATTTCTGACAAAAAGTCAAGGAATTTTACTTCTTCAATATCTTTAAAATTTCACTATGCATGTATCTCTGCTGCATTTATATTTGTCATTAATGCCTACACAGCTAGGTAAAATATATGATAAATAGCCAATATAATTACTTTTTCTAATAATTTTCCTGCATATTTAATTAATTAGACATGGAATTTAAAATTACAATAACATAAAATCTGCATTTTATCAAACATGGTAAAAAAAATCACAAATCTATGTATATTCTAATTTTAATCAAAGATATATTAAATCTTAGTCAAAGACATAATTCATCTATTTGAACTAATTTAAATGAAAGACCTAATTGGTTTATTTAATAAGCATAAAAGGTCCTTTAAGTTGCAATTTCATGTTTATATTTAAATTTTCATATTTTAACTTGAAATAATTTAAACCTTTCCAATTAATTAATTATATGGAAAATTTACTCAAAAAACCAGAATTAACAGACAATTTCCAAAGATGCATTTTTTGCATTTCTTGGTATATAATCCCAAGCTATTAGAAAAATTTTAAAAATATGTTTTTGAAAATATTAACAAGATTTTCATCATGTGGTGTTTCTAACTTTGTATAAGAGCAGAATACAAAAAAGAAGCTGAATAATGTGAAATACATACATTATAGCTTCTGAGTTAAAAACTGAAAAACACTACAATCAAATTTCCCATGCTTAATTTTTATGTATTACATTTTAGTATTAGTTAAAATGCAACATTATGCTACAATCTCTAGAAGAAGAGGAAGCAAAATTTATGAAAAGGATACGAGTTTCTTTTATTATGACATCTCTAGTTGTTCGATGATATATCAGCTGGTAAAATAAATACACAATATGCAAAACTATTTCATCATCTTCTTGTTTTGCTACGTTATTAAAAAATAAAAATAATGTATTATATTTGCATTAAACTAAATTATATAAATGCATGCGAAATTATAAATTTCATTCATTAATATTAATTTACCACTTACTCATAACATTTAACAATGAAGCATCTATTGGATTATACAAAATTAGTCACTTTGTAAGGATCTCAAGTTTTACTAATGTTTATTTTATTTTAAAACTGTACTGTTTGTTCTCTTATTTTCCACTTCCGGCCAGAATAAACGCAGGAATATGTTTACACAAATTGTACTTGCTAACGCTTAAGTATTTAAGTTGTGGTTTTTGCCAAGAGCAGAGTTAGATGGGTAGAGAGTGAGCCTTCTTGCCAAATTCACGCGAGTTAGCAATTAGTTGCTGTCCACCTTTAAGGCCAGAGATTTTAGGCCTCTTGAAAGCTAAAGATGTACTGTAGTTTTCCGCAGTTTGTGTACTACAACGTAATAATTTAAAAGACCAGTCTTAGTGTTAGTTATTTGTGTAAAGTTTTTAAAGTTACCTCTTATTTTTAGTTAGTTAGTTAGTTTGCATATTTTTACATTCAGACCACAAGTGGTTGGTCTTTGTATCCCGAAGAATGGGAGCGGAGGTAATATCATGGAAAATAAAGGGTAATTAAAACGTTCTCATCTTGTCGGTCGTCTCTTCTATACTCATAGGACATAGTTTATAGTCAAACTCACTGTCTTGTCAGGATGTTCGCCAAGCAGATTAGAAGAAATACAAGTCCTGATAACTTAAAAATTGCAAATAAAAGGAACAAAGCACAAAGAACAAAAGCAGAAAATAATTGTACATACCATTTAGATGTTCTATGACATGTTTAATAATTCCTGATTCAAGTAATGTTGAAGCACAAACCTCTTCAGCAGCAAATGTCCCAGCTAGTATTATTACTTCCAAAATCATATCATCTTCACAATTTTCTGGAATGGAGAAATAATAATAATAAAAAAAAAATAATAGTGTTTAAATATACCAATAAATGTTACTTTTACAACTAACATAAGATCCATTTTAAAAGGGAAGATACTTAAAATACTATTTTTTTTTTTACCTTGCGACAGTTTTTTCTTCATGAATCCCAGCAAATCATATTGGAATAACAACATTTCATAATCTAATTCAGGTATAGTCAGATTTCCCATCACTCCTAGGCACTCAAGTATGAAATCATCATTCTTCCCAGTACTCCTATGTATAGCTTCACAAAAAATATCAGCAAATTCCTAGAAAATTTATTCAGTATACTACTTGATACAGCACAGTTATTTAATACATACTTATTTATAGCTTTATTATTAATTAATAATTATAGATGCCAAACTTTGAATAAGGTCATCTACACTAGTGTGAATAACTTAACAAATTCAGTTTTCAACATACAACCATGACACTGAAAATGGACTTTTTGCAATCAGTACAATGAAAAGCATCTCAGTAGAAAAGCAATACATATGCAAACATTAGCACTATGATGTCAGAATACATTAGTGCACACAAAACATGAGGAGTCGGTGCCTGCAGTGCAAGGCAGCTTAAAAAATAAGAAAGAAAGGAAGGTGCATTTCCAGGTGAGTGAGTGCACCACTATGATGGCTTCCGACCACCGGACATGAACCAACGGAATTATATACCATCACGGCGGGGAAGACTCCAGAGTAATAAGGTTGAATATTATATACTAATAAACTGTTTTTTACATATTGATAACTGCAAGGCACTAAGCGTTATTCTGGTTATCTGCTTTAAGTTCTGAACATTTGAAACATTATAATATTATCCACGGTTGTTTCTGCTTAGGCAGTGTCTTGAGATTTTTTCTATTTTATCAAGGGCTATTCTGTTTTTGAGTGTGTTATTCGTCCACATTGTTCAGGCACAGTCCACTGGTTTCTTCAAGTGCCAGGTTCTTGTATGTACTCAATGGAAGTAATAATGGTCCGTATCGCCTTCCTCTCCGCATTCGCAGAAAGGAGTATCCCTAAGTCTGAATCTGTTCAGGTATACTGGGAATGGTCCATGACCTGTCAAGAACTGTGTTAGGCTAGCACAGTGGGTCTTTATTTCCATGTTAACTTTTGGCAGTAAGCGAAATGTCCTTCGTCCTACCACTGCCTCTGTCCATCTACTTTGCCAATTTTGTAGCAGACTTGCAAAAGTTGTTCGCTTAATATGCGACCAAGGAAGTTTAGTTGGTCTTTCTAATATATCCGTGCAGTTTGCTGCCTGCTTGGCCAGTAGGTCAGTGGCTTCATTGCCTTGAATCCCTGTGTGAGCGGGAACCCATTTTAAAGTGGGTCTTTGCGAAATAGGCATTGTCAGAAGCTGTTTATGAATTCTGTATACCAAAGGACTCCGGCTGTTTTGACTTGCGATAGCCGCCAGACTTAATGCCGAATCACTGAGCATGGAGAATTTCTCCTGTTAACATGTGTTCGCATATCTAATAGCAGCACTGATAGCTAGAAGCTCTGCTTGGTATACTGAGTTGTTCAAGCCTAATTTCCTTTTCCACTCGAATGTTACGACTCCATTTTCTAGTCTACAGAAGGCGCTGCCCGTGCCGTTCTCAGTTTTGGAGCCATCTGTGAAAAGGTTATTAGTGTACCTCTGAATTGGTTGGTCGTTTATACTGATACTGTCAGAGAGATTAAAAGCAGCTGGATGAAAAGTTTTGCAGTTGTTTTGATCCTCGTAGTCCGAGTGGTGATAACTATGACCCCAGAGTGCTGAAGTTTGACCCAGCCTGGTAACCCTTACGATAGCTGCCTCCCTTTCTACTATCAAATCTAGGGGAGGAATTCCTGCTAGTTGTTGTAGGGCTAGTGTTGACGTGGTATGGTATGCCCTGCATACTTGAAGTAGCTGCTGTCTCTGAATAGAGAGCAGGGATCTTTTCATATGAGAGGTAAGTTCGCCACCCCAGATTGCTGCTCCGTAAGTCATTACTCTTTCTCTAATGTTTCTATGCCAAATTTTTAGTAGCTTAGATGAGATACCCCATTTATGTGAAGTCATGCGTCTCATGTTGTTGCTTAGGATGCTAATTCGAGTCTTAAGATTCCTGACATGAGGCATCCAAGAAAGTCTGTTGTCGAGTAATAGCCCGAGATATTTCAATTGGGAAAAACATTTTACCGGTATCCCATGGAGTTTAATGCTTGGGTTGCATCTTAGCTGCCTGCTGCGTCCTATGAGTAAAGCTTTAGTTTTCTCTTTTCTGTGCCGAAATCTGAAGCTTATGTGCTCTGGCCCATTGGGAGAACAGATCAAGACAGTATTGAGATCTCATTTCGAGGTTACTCCTTCTGCCACAACTAGCATAAAATCGTCCGCATAGGCTATGATTCGAGCATATTCTACGTTATCAAACTGATGAAATGCCGAGTTTGCCCTTATATTCCACAGGGTTGGTCTTAGGCATGACCCCTGTGGACACCCTCTAAAGACATTTTTAACATAAATGCAACTGTCTGATGTTACTTGTACACTCGATCTTGAAGGTACGAGCGAAGGATGGTAATAATGGCTGTTGGCAGGCCATGTTGTGCAGCAAATTTTTACGTCTGGCCACCAAGGGGTCAAAG